GCGGGCTCAGCAAATCCGAGAAATGGTCCCGGTGCAGTCCTATGGAAGTGTTTGCATTGAGTAAGGACAACATGTGCGCTGGAGTATTAAGCAAGGGATGATGAATATGGCATATTTCTATGTGTAAATATGTGTGACCATGAATACTACGCCACGAGGCTATAGGGTCATCCCGGGACCTCGTTCATTCATTCATTACACCTCTTCTCCACTATTCCCCCCGCTCCCCTTTCCACGCCCCTGAAAGAAGGTAGAGTCTTATTACACTCTCAAGCATTCATCCCTCTGTGCCATTGGGTTCTGGGCTTGCAGCCTTCGAACTTAGGCCGCGGTGCCATTGCCTTCGAACTTACGCCGCTATGCCATTGGGCCCTGGGCCTGCACCCTTCGAACTTAGGCTGACTTTGTGCCTTGCCATCTCCCATCGCTGCACCTCTAGATCTCGAGAAGAAAAATGCAGCTGTACGTGCTCCCCCATAGTTCGTCCCTCTGCACCAAAAAGGTTGTGGACTTGCCGCCCTGCGAGTTTGGCTGCTTTGAGCTTATGTTTTCGTCTCGCTTGGGGCCCTTTCTGTATTCGGCAGCGTCTATATCGAGGTCTTCAGTTGAGTCTGTCTCTAATCCTTGGCCATCGCTATTTGGTTCTGCATGCCTGGATGTGCATTGCGGATATTTCTTCGAAGACTCAGCGCTTCGCAGTTTCCCATCCTCTACCATCTGTGCATGCACGCAAGGACGCGCAAACGGTATATGGGATCATTGTGTCTGTGCGCACACCTGCGCATGCACGCGTCGACTTGCAGGGGGTGTATATGATGAATGCCTCTGCACGCATGTTTGCGTATGAAGGCGTGGACTTGCAGACGGTCTAAATGTCTCTGTGCGCACACCTGCACATGCACGAGTGCCTCGACTAGGAGGGAGTGTCTCTCTTGACAAGGTGTGCGCATGCACGCAAGGACGTCCAAACGGAACATGGGATGAATGTCCGCACACAAGCGCCTGCACGCGTGGACTTGAAGGAGGTATCTCTGTCCGCACACCTGCGCATGCACACGTACGCGTGGAGTTAGAGGGCGTGTATATGGTGAATGTATCTATGCACACACCTGCACAAAAACGTATGCGTCGAGTTGAAGGGAGTGTGGGAGTTGTTGGTGACGTTGTTGAATGGCCTTCACAAGGACCTGAACCGCGTCATCAAGAAGCCCGATGTGGAGGAGCCAGACATCACCCGCAAGAAGCTCAGTGAGGGTAAACGGGAAGAGAAACTGGCTGCCGAAGCTGGTCCAGACACCTTGCTATTCTTCCAACTGTGACTCACGAGGATGTAAACTCATCCCCAATCGATGTTTTGCAACACTTGCAACGGGTGTTGTGTCTTCGACCATCATTGCAGTCGCTTGTTTGTTATGCAATAAGGTCTCTTCTCGCGCAAACGCAGCAATCACGCCAGCTACCTATCTCAGAGCTCTGAGTCGTGTGACACGCACAAACAGATAGTCTGACCGCTTTCGTGTCTTCGTGTCTCCCTTTGGTGGTAGAAGTGCAGCACACCCTTGAGAGGGAGAGCATGCAAGAGATGGATGCTTGCATGAGGAATGATGTACCTATGTACCTTGTCATCAACGTGCCCTGCCAATGAGAGAAGTCACCTTCGGGTAGATTCTTCAGCTTGCTGTCGGGATTCACCGGTC